CCTCCTCTTCCCTTTTCTTCTTCCTTCTTCTTCCTTCCTCCCTCCGTCCCTCCTCTTCCCTTCCTTCCTTCCTTCCTTCCTCTCTTTCTCCCTCCCTCCTTTCTATCTAGAATATTTTTTTTCTTCCTTCCTTCCATCCTTCCATCCTTCTCTCTTCCTCCCTCCTTCCTTCCCTCCCTCCCTTTCTATCTAGAATATTTTTCTTTCCTACCTTCCTTCCTTCCTTCCTTTCATTCTTCCTCCCTCCTTCCCTCCCTCCCTTTCTATCTAGAATATTTTTCTTTCCCTCCTTCCTTCCTTCCTTCCTTCCTTCCTTCCTTCCTTCCTTCCTTCCTTCCAGATCAACCTCTATGTGGAACTACCACGTCTGTTTTTTCTTGCATCTTCTGGGGCTGAAATTGCGCGAAGTCGCGAGAAGACAAAATACGAAAGCCAGGATACGGCCTTGCTCTGCTCCTAAAGCAAAACATCTCATGGCAAAAGCCAGGCCAGAATCTCCTGCCTTGCCCAGCGGGTTGGACTAGAAGACCTCACGGGTCCCTCCCAACCCTACGATGCCATGTTATACCACTACGTTCCAGGAAGACGGTTGAGAATTAACATTCCTGGTGCTGAGAACATCCTGCCAGCAGCTGGGATGGAAACCGGGCCGGATTTCGCAAGGAATTGCTTCACATATTGTAAATCAAATCAGTCCCCGCTTATAAGATTGCGGCCTTAATTGTAGCTATTAATGGCAAATCATTTACAGTATTAGCTGGTCCGATGGGAATCGTTTCACCCTAATTGTTGTTATTAATGGCCGGGAAAAACGGAAACCCGGATGCAAATGGATCTGTGCTGAAGCTTTTTTTTTTTTTTAATGTTATTTCCTATTTTATGTGCAATCACTTTCTCAATAATTCTTAATGGTGGATTGGCAATTTTCACGGCGGGAGTCTTATTAAGCCATTTTTTACATTTCTCTGGCGACCCCAAGCTGTTCTTCAATTTAAGAGAGTTGGGGTTTTTTTTCTTTTCTTTCCCTCTAAAATGTACAACGCTGGATCTGCAAACCCAAGTGCAAGGTTGCGCGGTGTGTAAAAAACATATTACAAGGTTTTGCAAGAGCGGCCAATTTGGATTCCAGAGGACAAAAGAGAGAAACGATTAAAAGCAGATAAACAGATGCGCTTCGTTTCCATGTCCACGTCCTAAAAATTAATTAATTTAATTAATCAGACTAATTTCCCTCTCCTGTCTTTAACGGTTTCTCCGATCTCTGTTGTAAGATGTTTTAATTTTCTAAGACGTTTTAAATTTTTAGATTCCATTTAAATTTGGAAAAGTGGGAGGCCCAGGATTGAGGTTGCCTACCTCTGAAAAAAAAATTGATCTTTTCTTTTAAAAAAAATATAAAAAAATGAAATGATCTCTTTTCTCTTATCGGCTTTGTTATCTTATATCTGATGATTTACGTAAATGTTCAGTTGTGGATGTCCAAAGTATAAAAATTAGTGGCAGGAAAGAAAGAAAGAAAGAAAGAAAGAAAGAAAGAAAGAAAGAAAGAAAGAAAGAAAGAAAGAAAGAAAGAAAGAAAGAAAAAAATAAAGAGAAAGAAGAAAGAAAGAAAGAAAGAAAGAAAGAAAGAGAAGAAAGAGAAGAAAGAGAAGAAAGAAGAAAGGAAGGAAAGGAAGGAAGGAAAGAGAAAAAAAGAAAAAAGAAAGGGAGGAAGGAAGGAAGGAAGGAAGGAAGGAAGGAAGGAAGGAAGGAGAGAGAAAGAAAGGGAAAAGAAAGAAAGAAAGAAAGAGGGAGGAAGGAAGGAAGGAAGGAAAGAAAGAGAAAAAAAGAAAGAAAGAGGGAGGGAGGGAGAAAAGAAAGAGAAAGAAAAAGAAAAGAATGAAAGAAAGAAAGAGAAAGAAAGAAAGAGAAAAAGAAAGAGAAAGAAAGAAAAAGAAAGAAAGAAAGAAAGAAAGAAAGAAAGAAAGAAAGAAAGAAAGAAACCCCTTTTTTAAAAAATAT